GGGTGAATTGAATTTTGAAACATGGATGTAGAGGTTTGTTGATATAGAGGGTCGCCGACCGTAGGCTCCTTTTCCCTTTTGTTGTTATGCCAGAAGGTTTTGATGTTATTTTGGGTATGGACCTGGGCTATCGTCATACCGGGCTGTTATTTGATTGCTACCTGTCAGAGCGTCACAGTTTGTACCTGAGGCGGGGAGTGCTTCTTCTTGGGATCAAGGTGGTAGTTAGTGTTGCACCGATGTATGATCCGCGAGGCAGGTGAGCTTAGTGGTCTACTTGCTAGCTTTGAGAGTGTGAGTGTGATGAGATCCAGATTGTATTCGCGAGGGTGGTTTGTGAGTATTCGGCATGTCTTTTCCGAGGACCTTGTTAGTTTGCCACTCACCGAGAGATAGAGTTCTCTATTGATTTAGTGCCTGGCACGCGCCGATGTTCTGTGGCACCTTATCGTTTTGCCCCAGCCCGAGTTGAGTGAGTTGAAGACTCAGCTCAGGAGTTGTTAGATAAGTGTTTTGTTCGCCTAGTGTTTCGCCGTGGGAGCACCGCCCTCTTTGCTAAAAGGAATGCAGATGGTGCCTTGAGATTTGTGCTATCGACCTACCGGAAGTTGAAATCGGGCTACGGTGAAGAAAAGTACCCTATGCCCGTATCGATGACCTGTTTGACCAGTTGAAGGGTTCCTCTTGTTTCTCTAAGATAGACCTTGAGATTCGGGTTACACCAGTTGAGGGTCAGGGAGGAAGATATCTAAACCGGCATTCGTACGCGGTATGACCATTTATGAGTTCTAGTGATGCCATTCGGGCTTACCAATGGCACTGGCCAGTCTGTAATGGACTTTTGATGAACCGGATCTTCCGGGAATTCTTGGATTCGTTTTGTAGTCGTTTCGTGACGAATCTTATTAATTCGCCTTCAGGGGAGCACGAGGAACACTTTGAGAGTGGTGCTTGAGTTGCCTAGAGCGCCAATAGGCTGTATGCCAATTTTGGAATGTGAGTTCTTGGCTAGAAGGTTGAATTCTTAGGCCATGTGGTCATCTAGGGAAGGGGTGTCTGTTGATACATCAAGGTTGAGGCAGTGGCAAGATTGGGCCAGCCTAAAAGTGCTGTTTGAGATCCGCAGTTTTCTAGGATTGGCTGGGTATTACCTCGTTTGTGACAGACTTTCTCCAGGCCTAGCTTCGCCGTTGACTAGGTTGACGCGGAAAGGGATAAATTGTGTGGAGTGAGACTTGCGAAAAGTCGTTCAAGAGCTGAAAGGTTGATTACACCGCTCCGGTTTTGATATTCCGGGAGAGGGTTGGGTTAATAGCAGTTTATTGGTGATCTTCGCTGAAGAGGTTTGGTTTGTGTTTGATGCAAGAAGGGAAAGCTGGTAGCTTATGGCTCACGTCTAGTTGAAAATTCACGAGAAGAATTACCCACACACGACTTAGAGTTAGCAGCAGTGATCTTTGCCTTGAAGATCTGGAGGCACTACATTGTATGGTGAAGAAGTTCGAGGGTGTTCTGGACACAAGAGTTTAAGTAATTCTGTTTACACAGAGAGACTTGATTTGAGGCAAGGAGATGATGGAGTTCATGAGGACTATGATTTTGAGTTGCAACTAATCACCCGGGAAAAGGCCAATGTTGTGGCCGATGCCTTAGTAAGGAAATCCCATTAGTGATGTAGCTTGTAACCATCCGGCGAATGTGGGAAAGGAGATGTTGGGAGCAATCTTGGTGAGTTTGATTTGCTACTGGCCAAACCGTTGAGCTGCGGCCTTGTTTTCCGTTGTTGCGCAGCCTACACTTGTGAACAGAGTGTTAGAGCACAGAGAGGTGACCTTAGGTAGAATCCCTCCGAGGAAGATCTTCCATGGGAAGGTTGAGAAGGGTATGATGTGTATCCCACCTGAGGTGAGTTACAGAGACCCGTTTTTCGTGCCGGAGTCTTGCGAGGAAGTACTCCAAGTTCCATCATTCACTGCCTTGCGGGCATCCGGGAGGCACTAAGATGTATCGGGATTTGGGTCGCCAGTTTT